CAAACCAAAGCCCAAATGTTCTCTCTGATAAGTGGATGCTGATCCATAATGGAGGGACATGGGGAAAATGGAGGAAATTTGATAGGGCAAAGGGGAGGGAGGGATGGGGAGTGGGCATGGGGGCAAGAAAGATGGTAGAATGAGATGGACATCATACCCTGTACACGTATGACTGCATATATGGTGTGACTCTACATCATGTACAACCAAAGAAATGAAAAGTTGTGCTGCAATTGGGTACAAGAAGTCAAAATGCATTCTGCTGTAATATATACCTAATTAAAATTAATTAATTAATTTAATAAAATGAAATATCCAAGGAAGTCCCCAATTCAGATGAGGAGTACATACTGCCTAGTCACTCCTCCGGAAAGGGATACAGTGAGGGGGAAAAGCACAGAGCTTAGGAGCCAAACAGACTTGAGTTTGAATTGGCTCCATTGGTTACTAAATATATGACCTTAAGACCACTAATCAACTTTCTGTTGCCCCCAGCTTCCTCATCTATATACCCAGTGTAACATTGACAGGGTGACACACAGGATTCAGTGTATGAAAAAAGATCAAAAGAACTGCACAGAGATGATGATGGTGGCTTGGTCAGCACTGCCAGGAAAATGACTCTCTTCTCTAGTTCATGGTTACCTTGACAAATGAATGTGGAGGATCAGCAACTACCCAACCTTCCTTCATGCACTCAGCAAAAATGAACAATCACCTCCACTACACCAGGCACTCACTACAAAACAGACAGACTCCTTCCTCCACGAACTGAAAGTGTCATTCCAAACCTGTTCGGGATTTTAAACATGTCACAGTAAGATCTGGTGATGCTTTGGCCACTCTCAGAGAGTGGCACCTGCCATAAGAGTAATAAGAACAGGAATAAAAGCTACCACTTTCTACTTTGGTTTTATGCTTCTTCAAACAACATTTTCACACATAACGTGGAAGCCCCACAGAGGCTTTGGAACCTCAACACACAACCAACAAGTGTGGTCTCCATCTCCCTAAGTTTAATAGGAACTTTGTAACATATTTCCCCCAAGTTTAAAATTGATATATGCTCATTACACACAAAAATTGAGAGGAAAAAATAAAATCACACCTTAAAGTCACCCAGAGACAGATCTTTGTACATTTTTGATCCATTTCCTTCAGTCTTTTTTCTATGCTTAAAAAAGTAGAAAATTTTTGTTTAAACAAAATGTCATATGCTTCTTTTTTTTTCACTGATAATGATCTGATTAGCATGTTTCTGCATACTAAAAATTCAGCTTATAACATTCTTAAAAACTGAAAAATAGTACAAATTATTATCTGATAATTCCCATTTTCTATATTATAATTATTTCCAGACCTTCACTATTATAAGTTATGTTTTTGATGAGCACACAGGAAACTTTGCAATTGTGATTTTTTTTTTAGGTTGAACCACTGTAAGTGGACTTAAGAGACTAATGACTCATTCATTCAGCAAATTCTTCATAAGCACCCACTAAGTGCTAGGCACCATTCCAAATTGGCAATATAGCAGAAAGCAAAAAAGTGAAAAACCAATGAAATATTTCTGCTTTCATGAAGCTTACATTCTGGAGAGATGTAAATGATTTTAAGTCCCTCAGGGTGTTGCCAAAACATTTTCAGTAAGACCAGAGTAATTTACAACTCCTCTATCAGCACATAAGTAGCCATCTTGCTACATTTTCATCAAGTTTGCAATTAATTTTTTTTCTATCTTCATAAATATAATGGCGATGTTGTTGTCCATAAGAATTTCCCCCCTTCCCTCTCTACTCCTATGTATTCACCTACTCACAAAACACAAGTAAATTGAAGAGATGCTTGAATTCTCATCCAAAGTGTGCTCTCCAAATGTCAAGTTTCAAAGACTTTTTAATCTCTCTAGTGAGGAACAATCTCAGCCCCACAGCAGGAAGGACAACAGAGGAATCACCTCCTATACCCTGCTACCATAGTCCCCAAAAGTAGCAGGAGATCATGATGACAAAAAGTCAGCAGTGAGCTTCTCCACCCAAATGCCAGATTTCTTAGGGGGGTTAGGCAGGCCAAGCCAGGTGGTCTCTGCAGGGGTCATGAAGTTGGGGTCAATGAGGCTCTCCCATGAACACATTTGGTGAGGTAAAGAACTGAACAATAGAGGGAATTTGGTGCATTTCCATAGAGGTCTTAGGAGGATACTGAGGACTTTGACGTAGGCTTATAATGAAAGGGCTACATATATAAAAATGCAATTTATATTATATATAGGGAAATATATAAAAAGAAGTAAACAAAATAATAAAAAATGAGCAAAGTTAAAATAAGAAATATATGCACAAAATTATCATGAGTATAATATTTTCAAAGTGTTAGAAACTTACAGAATACTCATTTATTTATTTATTTTTAATTTGTTCTAATTAGTTATATGTGACAGTAGAATGCATTCTGACATATCATACATACATGTACTATTACTTCTCATTCTTCTGGTTGTACATGATGTAGAATCACACTGGTTGTGTAATTATATCTGTACGTAGGACAATATTGTCTGATGCATTCTACTCCTATACCCCCCTCCCCTCCCTTTATTTTCCCCTGCCTAATCCAAACTACCTTCTATTTTTCTCTAGCAGCCCCCTGCCACATTGGCATATCAGAGAAAACATTTGGTCTTTGGGATTGGCTTATTTTGATTAGCATGATAATCTCCAGCTCCATCCACTTACCTGAAAATGCTATAATTTAATTCTTCTTTAAGGCTGAATAATATTCCATTGTGTATATATACCACATTTTCTTTATTATCCATTCATCTGTGGAAAGGCTTCTAGGTTGGTTCCATAGTTTGGCTATTGTGAATTGAGCTGTCACAAACATGGATGTGGCTGCATCACTGTAGTATGCTGATTTTAAGTCCTTTGGGTATAAACTGAACAGTGGGATAACTGGGTCAAATGGTGATTCCATTCCAAGTTTTCTAAGGAATATCCATACTGCTTTCCACAGTGGTTGCACCAATTTGTGGGTCCCTCCAGCAATGTATGAAAGAACATTTTTCCCTACCTCCTTGCCAACAATTATTATTGCTTGTATTCTTAACAATTGCCATTCTGACTAGAGTGAGATGAAATCTTAGTTTTGATGTGCATTTCTCTAATTGCTAGAGATGTTGAACATTTTTTCATATATTTATTGCTCAATCACATTTTTTCTTTTTTTTCTTTTATTTATTTATTTATTTTATTGTTGGTTGTTCAAAACATTACATAGTTCTTGATATATCATCTTTCACACTTTGCTTCAAGTGGGTTATGAACTCCCATTTTTAGCCCGTATACAGATTGCAGAATCACATCAATTACATTTTTTCTTCTGTGAAGTATCTGTTCAGTTCCTCTTCCTATTTATTAAGTGGGTTATTATTTTTTTTTTTTTGGTGTTGAGTTTTTTGATTTCATTATATATCCTGGAGATTAATGCTTTATCTGAGGTACAGGTGGTAAAGATTTTCTCCCATTCTGTAGGCTCTCTCTCTCTTCATGTTATTGATTGTTCCCTTTACTGAGGAGAAGCTTTTTAGTTTGAATCCATCTCATTTATTGATTCTGGATTTTACTTTGTATGCTTCAGGAGCCTTGTTAAGAAGTCAGTTCCTAAGCCAATGTGGTGACGATTTGGGCCTACTTTTTCTTCTATTAGGTACAGGGTTTCTTTTCTAGTGCCTAAGTCTTTGATCCATTTTGAGTTGCTGAATACTCATTTATTTTAAAAATATCTATGTATGTGTGTGTCTATCTATCTATCTACACAAACATGCCTTAGTATATATGAGGCACTGTTTTAAGCATTTTCAACTTATGAATAGATACCATTGTTGTCTCCCCTAGATAGATGAAGAAATTGAACATAGAGAATAAAGTACTTGTAAAGTCAGGATTTAACCCCAATTAGTCTCCCTTTAGAGTCTACCCTTAAACACTATCATAAAAAAAAGAGAAACTGATAATTTGGTATAGTAACTTCTGTGGGTCAACAGGTCAGATCAAGAGAGATGTATCTAATGACTTCTATGAAACAGGCACTGTTGTGGCCCAACATCATCAAGACCATGAATGGGAGGGCTAGGAAATTAAATCTGGCTTAAGATCTATCTGGACTCAAGTACACTCTTTCTACTACACCCTGCTTAAAGGAAAAGGTTTTCTCACTTGTGGTGAAGTGCATGGGGCATAGTTTGCCCAGGCCTCAATATTCTTTGAACAAAAGGCCACAGCGGGAAGAGAAGCTCCCAGTGTGTTGTGTTTAGGGGGACCATTATGTTGAATGGCACCTTCAAGTGCTCCCTCCCTGCACCATGCCCCAGACACTTTAATATGGTCCAGGTGGTTCAGAGTTTACCTTTTGGATTCAGAGGCCTCCATGCAACAAATAACAGTCTTTAAGGATTTTAAGAAATGTTCTTACAATCTCAACCTTTGGCATTAGAATCTGCTGAACCTCCAGTTATTGAAAATTCTTTTATATTTTTCCCTTGATAATTCACACTGTACTTCAGACTGCTTTGATAGCTCCCTTAACAGTTGCCTTCATATTTCAAACCTATGAAATGACATATTTGAAGGGATTATTCATTTTTTTCCAATGGAAAGCACATATACCCCATAATGCTTTAATAATACTAACCAGATGGATTGAGAGGACTTTGACAAGGAGTTTCTTTAGTTAATTTGAGAACATACTGAATTTTAGTCTCTTTTGACCATTGAAAAAATGGGCAGAAGAAAAAGTGCTCCATAAATTTCCTGCTTATGCAATTTTAATACTTTCATCATGCTCAGATGAATATATTTAAAGCTAAATCTCCCCTTCTTCCATTTTGAAAGTAGAGGTTTCAGGATTTATTCAGGAAAGCCCAAGAAAATATTTACTTATACAGACTAGTTACCCCTAAATAATTCCCACTCAAAATAGAAGGAGAAGAAGAAAAATACCTCCATTCAGTGCTCATGCTGGTGTCTTTCTCCATTACCCTCAAAGAGTCCAAGAGCCTTCAAGACAATTTCTTCTTCATGTAAAGTCATAAGTTGCCAGGACCAGAAGGGACCTTAAAGATAATATGGTCTACATTTTTCATGTTCTAGATGAAGAAACAAAGAATTTCAGATTTGGCAAAGGTCATGTAAGTAAGAAATGACAGAGTTTAGCCTTGATCCCCATTCTGTGTAATGTCCACTGATTATATAACTTTGCCTCTTTTCTGCTCTGCTTTCCTGTCTTTTTCTTACTTTTTCCACTTCCTTTGATAGACCAGGTCTTGTGTGGTGATGGGACAGGCCAAACCAGAGCAGGCCAGATTGTGAACAGCAAAGTTACAGGCAATAGAGGGAAGGTCTGGTAACTGAGAGCCAGAAAAGGTCTTTTCACAGAGTCTGTATACTATATTTAGATCAGAGAATTTGACATCAGATCATAGAAGTGCTGCCAACAGATCAAGTAAGCAAAGGGTAAGAGAAACAACTGAAATTGCATTTCAGTGTAGGACTCTTCATCATAAGAACTGAAGTACATATGCACAAAACTCAACTCAAAGTGGATTAAGTACTTAGGAATTAGACCAGGGACCCTACACCTAATAGAAGAAAAAGTAGGCCCAAATCTTCATCATGTTGGATTAGGCCCTGACTTTCTTAACAAGAATCCTAAAGAGCAAGAAATAAAATCAAGAATCAATAAATGGGATGGATTTAAACTAAAAAGCTTCTCTCAGCAAAAGAAACAATCAATGAGGTGAAGAGAGAGCCTATAGAATGGGAGCAAATTTTTACCACACGCACATCAGATAGAGCACTAATCTCCAGTGCTCTATCAAAAACTTAACACCAAACAAACAATCAAACAACCTAGTCAATAAATGGGCTAAGAAACTGAACAGACACTTGTCAGAAGAAGATATACAATTGATCAACAAATATATAAAAAATGTTCAACATCTCTAGTAATTAGAGAAATGCAAGTCAAAACTACGCTGAGATTTCATCTCATCCCAGTCCGAATGGAATTATCAAGAATACAAGCAATAATAAATGTTGGTGAAGATGTGGGGGCAAAGGCACACTCATATATTGCTGGTGGGACTGAAAATTGGTGCAACCAATCTAGGAAGCAATATGAAGATTCTTTAGAAAATTTAGAATGGAACTACCATTTGACCTAGCTATCCCACTCTTCAGTCTATACCCAAAGGACTTAAAAACAGTATACTACAGTGACACAGCCATATCAATGTTTATAGCAGCACCACTCACAATAGCTAAACTGTGGAATAAAACTAGATGCCATTCAATAAATGAGTGGATAAAGAAACTGTGGTATATATATACACAATGGACTATTATTCAGCATTAAAAGAGAATAAAATTTTGGCATTTGAGTTAAATGGATAGAGTTGGAAAATATCAAGTTAAGCAAAGTAAGTCAATCTCCAAAACCCAGAGGCCAAATGTTTTCTCTGATAAGTGGATGCTAATCCATAATGGGGGAAAGCATGGGATGAGCGGAGGAATCTTGGTAGGGGAAAAAGGGAGGGAGGGGAGGAGAGGGGTTATGTGGATAAGAAAGATGCTATAATGAGATTGACATCATTACCCTAGGTACATGTATGATTGCATAAACATTATGACTCTATGAACAACCAGAGAAGTGAAAAATTGTGCTTCACTTGTGTACAATGAATCAAAGCGCTTCCTGCTGTCATGAATAACTTATTAGAGCTAAGAAAACAAAACAAACAAACAAACAAACAAAAAAACTGAGGTACAGAACCAAGGCAGAGACATGGCCAGATGGACCCAGAGGAGCTGAAATCAAAATATGGAGCTCAGTTCCAAGGAACAAGTTTACAAGGCCAGGTACAACTAGCAGTGAACTTCTGGCCTAGAGTTCCTTCAACTATCCCCAAACAGTGTAGAAGAGACAATAGCTATCTAAATAAATTCACATACTTCCATGTATTTCCATATATGCTTTGTGGATAGATTGGGGCCATGTGACTAATCAAAGGAATGAAGGGAAGTAGCAACCATGAGAGCCACATACTTTTTGTTGGGAGGGAAAGAAGACACTAGAAGTCCTAGAGAATAGATCTCTGTCAGCTCTTTGTCCACCCTACTTGAGCACTGTGATGAAGACGCTGGAATACATGCATGCTTAGACACAGCATGTTCATTTTACCTGAGGGCTTAATGACTACATGGAAAATGCCTTTGAGCAAGAAAGTATACCCTGCTACATAGGGGCTATCTGCTAGAAGAAAACAAGAACAAAGAAGGTTTCCCCATAAAACTAATGCTCTCTGTCTATTATAACTGCTTATTTTTTTGCAAGCAGGATAAATGTGGGGAATTTATAAATGGTAAATAGCAATCATATAAGCATGCTTAATCATAAATATATTTATATACATGTAAATTGATATCAATGTATTTACATCAATTTAAATCTATAACCCATTTAATCTTTCCAACACATGAATGAGGCAGATATTATTTCCATTTTTAGATCAGGAAACTGAATCACAGAGTGTGAGTGATCTGGAATACAAACCTCTAGATTAGAAATCACATCTTAATAAGTAGTTAGAAAATTATTGCTAAATGTTTATATACTGGTACTGTAATTTAAACTGAATCAATTTATTATACTTACCTATATTTAAATTTAAAATCAATCATTTTAAAGTAAATAATTCAGTAGCATTTAGTGCAACTCACAATGCACTTACAATTTCAATTTAGTTCCAAAACACTTTTATTACCCTCCAAAGGAACTTTCTACTTAGTCATCAATTGCTTCCTGATTCTTATTTCCTAAGCTCTACGCAGCCCCCACCCCTTACCAACAATTAGTCTATTTTCTGTATCTACATATTTACTTATTCTGTATGTTTCACATGAATGGAATTGTATAATATGTAACCTTTTGTGTTTGGCTTCTTTCAGTTAGCACAATGTTTTTGAGGTCATCCATGTCATATCACTCACTAGTACTCCATTCACTTTTATGGTGAAGTAATATCCCCATATATACTACAGATTATTTATCTACTCATTCACCTGTTGATGGACATTTGGTCTGTTTATCCATCTGTTGATGGATAGGACCATAGGCCCAACTGTACCTGCAGGGTTTCTCATCTGCATCACTCGTTACCCATTGGAGCATTTGTACATGCTGTTATTCCACAGTTACAAGACTGAGTATGCTTCTGAGTCGTGAGGCCTTCAAGCTGAGAATCTGACCAGGTATTGGTCCTGGAAAGGATTTTAGAAGTGGTAGAAGAAATTACTCTGGGTGTAGAAGATTTTTTGGGTTCAGCTTTGCCTCCAACAGCTATGTGACTCTGGACCAGTCTCTCTGGGTCTCAGCTACCTATTAATTCAGAGGAACTCTGAGTCCCTTCTAGTCCTAACAATCAATGACTTGCATTTTCTCTGTGAAAATTACTTTTTGCTGAATTACATCAGAGTCAGTAGTCTCCAGTAATTGTTATTCATTGTTGCTGTCTATTTTAGGTTCTATTTAACTATATTATTTAAATCTTGGTAACAATTCTTTAAAATATATTTATTAAAAATCATGCCTACTTTATAGATGGAAGAGACAAGTAACTTCCCCAAGTCATATAGCCAAAGGGGAAAGACAATGACTGAAATTCAGGCAGTTGGACTCCAAAGACCTCTGTTCTTTTTCGAGTCTCTGTTTTTCAATGATTTTCTCTTCCTGATTTTATTTTCCCCTAATACAGACCTGTGGGTCTTCCAGAAAAGTTGTCTGTCCATAAAAATTGACTGTTTCTCCACTCCACCTATTTTTCCCAGAGCTTCTGAAGCCCACATACATCACTCCCATTGAAGTACCTGGGAATCAGATCCATGAGAGGAAAATTCACTTCTCCTCCTTCCCCAAGGCTACCTGAGCAGATAACAATATCACGTGACCCTCACATGATCAGTTTATCTACCCATTGATCTCTATTATCTTATGGGTTTGTTACAGTGATTCTATAAATTAGTTGAGGATTAATTTTACCAGTGAGGAGGCTGAGAGGTAACTTGCCCATGGTCATATACCTGGCTTATACCATTTTCTTCTGGGGCCTTTGATGAGCCGGGTTGAACTGGAGTTTGGGAAAATATCTCAGGAAAGTGCAAAAGTTTCTTTGTGGACAGCAAGGGGATGAGGGTGCTACTTACAGCCATACACACAAATGCCATTCAGAATATTAGCCCTGACCCTACAGAATCAATTGGTGGCCTATTTCAGGTGAAGCTATTTCAGGTAGCTTTGGGTACTCTCACAATCCATTATGCAGGCCTTCTTCTCTGTTCCATGAGCTTGAGAGTCCCCCAAAATATCTCAGACAACTCCAATGTTTGATTTTCACCAGATGCAGCTTAAGACTCATGTTCTCCTGTGGATATGGGAAAATCCTGCATCATACACTAGAAAGTGACCCACAGTTCAGTGCTGATGACTCTTCCAGTACATAGAAGTAGAGGGATTTCAGTGGAGTGACTCGGTGCCTTTGGTTGGATCACTGTTTTTGATTTGGAGGCCTTATGTTTGGAAAATCTGGCTTTGGATTAATTGATGCTTACTATTTCTGTCTTAATCAACCCCAATTCTTTTTCGAATCCAGGTGTCACAAGAAGAAGGAAATATAAATATGTGAGGTTGCTGTTTTCAGCAAATTCACTCTGCAATCAATGCCAAACCAGGCATTGCCCTAAAACCACTCTGTCACCAACAGCAAGAAAAGGAGATAGGGTTGCATTTCTTGGAAGCCAACAGCTTGATTTTCATTTTGGCACATTGTGGGGTTTGTTTTTGTTGCTGTTATTCTTGTTGTTCTGGAATGAAGGACAGGCTTATTTTCAGAGCTGGGTTTATGATTAAACTCAGCATTATTTCTTGAAACAACTTGCTAAATAAATTCTATTGACTTAATACATTCATAGCCATTAGAAACCTGTCCTCCCCAAGAGAGATCCTTGTAGAATACAAATGTAACTGTGCTACTCCTTATTTGGGATATTCTGACCACAAGTTTCTTTTTTAGCTTTAGTGGCTGGACTGGTCTCTATTATGGTAGGTAGATCCATGCCACACTGGCCATTAGATACTTTGAATATCATCCTTTCTTATTAACTTCTACTTCTACCCTTACCATTTTGAATGAACCAGGCTTTTTGGTCTTTTCATAGCTTCCCTTTGGAAACTCCCAACTTTCTCTAAGTCCTCTTAGCCTTCAATGCTCTCAAGTCTGAGAAATCTCCCTAGCCTCATCTTCTCCTCCTTTCCTCATCATGCACATTATTAACCATCCCTCCTCTCTGATTCCACAGAACTGTACACAAACCAATGAGTTGAGAGACATAGGTTTTTTTTTCCCCCCACTAAAGGGGCACATCTAAAAAGAGCTAAGTGAATATCATCAGAAAAAAAAGGCAAGCTAGGAAAGTAAGTCCTTCTAATAAGAGATTTATAGAATCTAAGAGTTGAAAGTTATTCCCATCTCCTTCTGTAGTATCCTCAATAGATTTTTTTTTAGCTTCAAAGCATGCATGTCCAGAGATACAGAAGCTAGTTTTTTTTTAAAACAAAGTGTGTGTGTGTGTGTGTGTGTGTGTACGTGCACGCACGCTCATGTGGGTTGTTTTGTTTTACATTGAGCAAAAGTTGATCTTAAAATAATCTCCACTTAATATGTCCTTGATCCGACTTCTAGAACCAAGCAAAATAAGTTTCCATACTAATTGATGATCCTTCAGATGTTTGAGAAAAGGCTCTCATCTGTCTTCTGTCCTTCTAAAAGACAATGAAGGTCCTGGAATCATTCTTTCTGTCCTGCTAGGAAAAGGATTATGCCAAATGTACCTATCAGGTATTTCCCAAGTGTCTAGCAGCAAGAAGTTGTTAGAGAGGGTAAATACATTTGTTACAGAATTAATTCCAGTACAAGAATAAGCAGTATATTGCTTAAGTAGAAGATTGCAACACAAAAGAAAACAGTCAAAAAACCTAGAAGGTATTTCTTAGGGAATGTTCCAAACATCTTGCAATGGATCCTGCAGATTAAAGTTCAGCTGCAGCTTATTATTTGTGAAGTATTATATCTATTTCTTGTAGAAGGACGAAGGGGCAGGCAAAAAATAATGAGTCCACCCACACTTGATAAATTTAGGAAAAATTCCTAGGAGGGGCCACTATGGGGAGCTGGAGATCATTCTGGAATGAAACCCAATTCTAGTAAAACTAAATATGCATGAGAAGAAAGCAGTCTGGGTAGTGTCAGAGTTGAGTTTGGAAAGTGATCTTGGAATTTTTCTCTGAGGATCCACTTACAATAGTGATGTTTTCAGGTTGGGGTTTTGCCTGGAGTCAGAGCAGCTGGACTCAAATACCCTCTAAGCTCCCTCTAGAGGTTGAGGTGTGTAGTTGCCAAAGGAGCTAGGGGACTTGGAAGCCTGCCCCCGTGTCCAGAGGGAAGTCTAGATGAATTATTGGTTCTCGAACAAAATCTGTTAGTTGAAAACATTAAAAGCAAAACAAAACTTCCCCATTCTGTAAATATAGCAAGGCTGAGATCAAATGCATTGTGAATGTACACTTGTATAAGAGAGGTAGTAAACTGGTAATAGTCTAAAACTTTAAATTAGATACTTTGATTATAACTGATTTGATTATAGCAGCAATTAATTTTAAAAAAATCATAACAACTTCCTGGATATGATGAATTCTAAAAAGGTACATTATCTTTTGGTTAGTATTTGGTAGAATAATGATCATCATTATAGCCACCAATTATTGAGTACTTTTTATGTGTCAGGTGCTGGATAAACACTTTACTTACATTTTTTCTCTTGTAATTTTCATAAACACCCTTTGAGATCAATTCTGTAATTAGCACTATTTTATAATCCATTTTGAATGAACCAGGCTCTTGGGTCTTCTCATTTAGAGAAGTTAAATCCTTTGTATGAGTTGATTTAGTTGTTGTAGTGATGCCAGGATTTGAAATCAGGCTTGTACTCTTAAGCACAAAACAATGTTTTCTCACTAGAGGAAACTGGATTCAGCAAGATTACTGAGTAGTCCCAGGAACACAACTTTCAAGTGACACGAAACTAGCAAGTGAATGAAAGTATATATGTGGTACCTGATCCATCACGGACATTCAATGAAAACCAGCTCCCTCCCCCTCTGTCAAAACAATGCTGACTACCTGTGTCTTAAGTGAGATTTCAATAGCATAAATACTCCTGAGGAGACAACCCAGTCCATTTAACGTTTGCATACTGTCACCTAGACCTGTATGCTGCCTTTATTGAGTGCTAAATGAATATTTGCCAGCTGGATCATAGAAAGATTAAATTCCACTAGGCCTGTCTTCAAGGAGCTTATGATCTGCTGGAAATGATAAAATTTGTGCACATAAACATACTCACACACACACACA